CTGGTTTTCTGCCACTATCCAACAAGTTGAAAATCTCACAAAAATCGATGAAGACAATGCCGAAGATTACAGTCAACACCACCAACTTGCAGAAACTTCAGAAAGGAAAGTCCCAAAGCATTCAGAAGAGAAACATTGCAAACGATATAGACGATGATCTAGGAAATATATTGGATATACCAATAATATTCGCCAAAGACGACGACAATCTGAGCAATATAAACAAGATACCAGTGGTAACACAAGCGACGCTGGCTAAGGAGTCTCAAGAGAGACCAAAATTGAACAATACTACCAAGGTAGTTTTAATCAGCAATAAACAAGACAAGTTGCAACAGATGCCAAATAAACTAGGGGCTACTTCTACGCAGGCCGTTATATGTCCGAATTTGCCTGTGCAAAACTTAAATCAGTTGATACTGCAGACGCGGTCGCAGAACAGTAACATCTCGGATCATACTGGCGAAAAGAAATTCGCAACCCGCTCAACAGAACGAGAGAGACGAGAAGGTGATTATGACCAAGAAAATCATGGAAGATATAAATGCACCTAAAATTCTGACTTTTGAGAAAAATGAACATAGATTTGTGCAAGCACAATCTTCCACAGCATCGACAACAAATTACGATGATCATAATATGGATAACGTAATCGAGATTGAGGACGCTATTAAAAAAAATATCATCGAACGTAAATACATACCCGCACCTGCAATCAACGAGACACCATCCATAACTCTCGACGATGACTGTAATATTTTTAACGAGACTAAACCAGATAAGAATGAACCTGATTCGAAACAGTCTGTTTTCGATAATGTTAGTGAACTGCAAACGTAGAATATATAATAGCTTTACAAAACATGACGTAATTGCTTCATGATAATGTTGATTGTGTAATACATTAGAAGATACCTGCACAGTATGATTATTTCAATTTATTGTCGGTATTAATCTAAAAAAATATATATATAACAATGTATATATATTTATTATTATATTTAATATTAAAATATTTTTCTTTTAAATTGCATAATATATAATATATTATCAATTTCTATTGTCATTATCATTACTATATATATCGTGTATCATACATATTGTACTGATCTCTCAGCTTTAATATGATTATTGATATATATATATATTTTGTTATTAAGATTATAATACGTGACTTATTTTAAGTTCTATGTATGTGTTATACTCATATTCATGATGACAAAAACATGGTACACAAAAAAATATAAAGTTGCAACTATTGTTTAGTTATTCCAATGTCTGATGTTATTAAATTTATACACATAGAACATTTGTTGTTAGAATAAAATTGACCAAAGAATGGGAAAGACAAAAATAAATAGAATTAAATAACAATAATGCACTGTTATTTTGAAAATGGATATAATTTCTAGAATGCCAATTTTTTATTATATATAATTATTAATGGATTTTTCTAAAATATGCCTCAGAAAAAATGAGAAATAATTGCGCCAAAAATGCATCATGTTAATTTACTATTTAAGTGTTACAAATAAATTATAGTCTAAATCAACTAGAAAATACGATTTCTTAAACGAAAAATTTGAAATCTTTTCAATCTATATCAACAAAGAATAGGAAAAATTAATCTCAACAGATAAATAACATTCTAGGATTATACAATTGTTACACGACATAATGCATTTGTATTATAAACTTAACGTGTGAAGGATTAGAAACAATACATATAGATGAAGTTCTTATAAAAACTTGCAGTTATTTATACCTCAGTTCCTAATAAAGCATTCCCGTTTTGCGAAGTAAACATTATGTACATCTTTTTACTGAATTCGGGACCAATTTTACGTATGGCTGTGAGAGGTCCTGCCGCTCTCCTTATCTATCAAATAATATTTAATCTTTGCATATTTATTACATTAATAAATGTCACACTACAAAATAATTACATGATTAGATTTTGGCTTGTACTAAATATCTCATATCACATGTAAAATATTGTATAATTAACGTAAAATTTACACAATTGATTAAAGTAAGTAAACCATATGTATTAGAAACAGTTCAAGTGTTATAACAGTTCAATAATTTTATATATTCTAATTTTTTAATAGGAAGAAAAAGTAAAAGACTTACTGATATATCTTTTAATAAATTTATGCCTTCATCAGGTGTGCAATTTCTATAAGCCTAGAAGAGTAAAAATACATTGTATTTAATTTACTATTTAATAAACAAAATTTATGAGACAAATTTATAAATAATATATTAGATGGCAGTTAATTATAACAATACCTTGATAAGTTGAATTGGGCTAGGATAAACTGTACATATTGCTTCTGATACTTCCAAGCTACTCAAGTTAAATTGGCACAATTGCTGCTGCCACAGTCTCTTTAACCCATTACCATCTTTGTCCACGCGCACTGTATTCTTATTGTCTCCCATAACATACCAATCGAATTTACCTTCCTGATTCCTTCTTTTCTGCAATTTATACGGTATTTCCGAAATGGACTTTGTATATTGGCATATCATTAAAGCTAAATCCTGTGAATTCTCGATCAATCTACTGCTGCATTTAACTATTATCTGAACTTCAGTCAGGCACATCTCCAATTGCTGCCTCGAAATAATTGGTAATATGTCGAACTGTTGATTACCTTTGCCTTTATATCTGGATCCTTTACTCCCAGAATTCTGATCCGACTTCTGTTTCTTCCGATATGCGAAATACTCTTCCATACCACAGATAACCAAGGTCATATTGTAATTCGGTATCAGAGCCTTATAGTCTGAGACAGATGTGCAGAAAGTGCCTTCTGCCACATGTTTCACCGCTTTGTAATTGCTCCAAATCACAATAACATACTCTTCTGTCTGTATACTTCTCCTTGTGCGTACGTCATTATCTTCGCTGATATAGTCCTCCTCGACGTTCCTCCGCCACGTAATGCTATTAGGAATTATCTCGGTGGTTACATTGAATTTAATACCCGCATCCTGCAACGCACTCTCAATTTCTTCTCGAGAAGAAACCGAGCCAATACCTCGATCAAGATAAACTTCCATAAATTTTATACATTCACCAGGCTTCATATCCTTCAATGTTTTCTTCTCGATCGCCTTTAAAGTCTTTTCCCTCGCTAGAGCTTGCTGACGTCTTGATCGTTCCTTCCTCAACGTTGCCTTATCTTTCTTGGAAACTGTTGCTTTTCGCGAGGTTCTATCAACCCGATTCTCCGAATCAGAATTGGGCGATTTCTCTGTGTGTTTATAGCCATTATCGGCGTTTAAATTGCTGTCACCTTGTGACGTCGAGCTCTCTGCGATATCGCGGCAGAACAGTACCTCTGGAAAATCGAAATCATTTAAAGCATCCGAATAATACTTGCCGCCGATCTCCGATTCAATTTTATCATGTTTATCAGCAACAGGAGATACAGATTCATCCGAATCACTCAATACGATCACATTCGACATTCTTCTTGAATTTCTTCTAATGTTACTTGTTCTGACTTGATCTTTCTCGCCTTCTAACTTTTAGCATATTTCTCTTGCTCGCCTTTTAATTTTGCTTGCTCTTTTTTTCTTTCTTTTCTTTCGTTTTCTTTTTTCTTTTTTCAAATTTTAATTACATACAATCAGACATTGGAGATTTATTGACTACACATAAGAGAAATTTCAAATCTGTTAGTATACACATGGCGGAATTAGGGTGAAATCACACGGTGCGGAAAAAGATTGCGGAATAGAGAATGGGTCATTGAAGCAACCAATCAGCGCTATTCGAAATAGCGCTGATTGGTTGCTTCAATGGGTGCATTCAGTACCACGACCGTTCACTGAGTGCTCAGCGAGCGCTTGTATCTTATTGGCATATTCCGTTAGAACTAAAAATATAAACCAAACAGATACAAGAGCTCACTGAGCGCTCAACGAACGCTTGCATCTTATTGGCATATTCCGGGTTGTGTTCCGATAGCTGTGTCGAAAATTTTTTTTTAGTTACAAGGTTGGTAGCGCTGTAACTAACATAGATGTGTTCCGTAAGTCCGGATCTACAATAGGTGTTTTAAATTTTAGTCGTAATTATAAGGTCGCAAGCAAATCGACCAATCACAATCAAAATTACGATCTCGCGTTTTAAAACGCTCGACTGTGATTGGCTGATTTGCTTACGGCCTTACGATTGTAAGTTAATTAGTACGATTGTAAGTAATTACTGTGATCGATCTATATCATTTCTGTACAGCTTTGATACGAGCTAAGATGGAAATAAACGAAACAGTTAATAGAGATATTAAATTAACAACCTTAGTGGAAAGATTTCCACATTTGTGCAATCATTATAAACAAATCATTATAAACCAGAACATCAAAATTTACGGCATAAGTTTACAGTCTTTAAGTTACCGGCATACGGTTACGGCCAATATAAATCAAGCTTTAATCAGAGATCGGCCATAAGGATTTCGTCAAATTTCTCCAAGCGAGAAAGGAGTATAGGCTATCTCACTCTTCCACCAATAGCGGTGTGTATGCATGGTATATACACACTGCTTTTGATAGAAGAGTGAAATAACCTATACTCCTTTCTCGCTTGGAGAAATTTGACGAAATCCTTTTTATGGCCAGTCTCTGATTAAAGGGGCTCTAGAATTGACTAATCAAAGAATACTTTGAAGCATTTGTAGCGTCAAATGGACCGCAGCCTCAGTCGATTAAATTTCAATATTGCCAATTGCAAGACTGAAAACATAATCTAATTTTCTGGCAATTGTGAAAAACGATGTGATAATAACAGCACAAGTCCATATTAATAGCAAATTTCTCAAATTCGAAAAAGCTATGCGAGTCGAGCACGTGAGTACTCGGTGCCTCGCCAGAAAAAGGATGTTTTCAAGTCTTGCAGTTGGCAATATTTAATCAGCCGATTAGTTCAATCGAAGTTGGTGAGACCGGGTCTCTAGGCGCGCGAAATAACTGCAGTGTAGTCAAAAAGGCGCGCAAGGTAAATAGTGAAGTGAGTAATGAAAATTGAGTGTTCGAATTTTTCCAAATGTAGTTTCAAATTGCGGGTTTCTCCTTTGCTGTATTTGCATATGACGTTAGTGCCAGAACCGGCTAATAAAGTTTATATTGCGAAAGCAATATAAACTAACGTCTCGTATTTGCCTTGAAACAAAACCAAGCAAAACAAACCAACTAATAATTGTGTAGGTTATATACTTGTTGCGATAATTGTACAAATTGTACGTGTCTAATGTGTCACTTGTAATATTTGAGTCAACCGAATTTAAGTACATCTATTGTTATTTTTGTTTTTAGATTGGTCAATCGGATTGAAATTTTGTTTTGTCTAAAATGGGTTCATCTTCACGCGAATCATCAGTGGAACTGCAAATTGTAGAAGATGACGAGTTGCTCGACGAAGTATTGTGTATGAAGAACAATGAAGAAATTGTCGAATCTAAGCAAAATGACATGAAGGAGGAGGACGACGTAAAGAACAGTCCTTGGTACGAGGATAAAGAAGACACCGACGTTTACAAGAACGAGAACTATGAAAATTCGAATGCGCGATGTGACGATGTCCGAACGGAATCTAAAGAGGGACTAAATAATATCAAGTGTACAGAGCACAAAGATAACATGAACAGGCCAGATAAATTGCATTGGCGTAAAAGGACGAGGCAAGACAATACGGATCATGCGCATACTAAAGTTTCTCGTAATAGACGCTACTCCAGTGACTCTAGTACAACCACTAATTCATCAGAAAATGATAAAAGACATGTAGAGTACGAGACAGATCCAGCTGTGCTAGCACGTAGACAAAAAGAAATTGATTATGGGAAAAACACTACTGGATACGACAGATATATTCGGCTGGTTCCTAAGTAAGTCTCATGAGATTAATGTAGTAAGGAAATGTTATTTGTTGCATATGTATTTAATTAAAATCACTTTTGTTTCAGAGAGAATCGTACACGAGAGCATCCAAGGACACCACCAAAATATATAAAATATAGCAGAAGGGGTTGGGATGGTATGATGAGGTTGTGGCGGAAGCAACTTCATTCTTGGGATCCTCCTCAGGAAAATGACAAGATTGACAAATAGGTTAAAGTCATTTTGTCATTCCATTTATGATACTGCCAATATTATTTTTTTAAATTTATATTGCAATCATGTTATTTTAATGCCTTTATTACGTATTATTTTTAGTTTTTGAAACAATTTTATAATATATTTATAACTAATCATATAATATAAGAATTATAACAAAGTGATATTTCTATTCTTATTTATGTAATTTCATAATCATATTTTTAAAAAGTTTAGTTACATAAATGATTTTGTATAAATAAAATAACATTAATGTATATATATTAAACGTCTCTCTTGAGACAGGATTTGCAATTTTCTACTATTTAGACAAGTTAACCCTAGTTATACACACTGGGGTCCCAGAAACCTCAGTGCAATTTGCTAAATCGAGATTTTTTTCGTGTTTTTGAACTTTTCTTTTTCTTGGAACCTATATATCTCGAAGTTCCTTAATTAACCGACTTTTACACATCATGGACTTATTCCTTAATTAATTCTTCAATTGAAACAAAATTAATTGAAATATATCCATTTTTACGGAAGTTATGGCAACAAATATGGATAGAGTCCCAAGAACCCAAGTGCGTATATCAAGGGTAAAAAAAAGTGTGTATAACTAGGGTTAAGATATATTAAATTTAAGTGAATTAAAAATTATTTAAACAAATTTGAAAATGTGTAATTTTTTGTATGTGCTTTTGATACAAAATTTGAAAATAGTATACTATCATACATGATGAATACAAATTTATTCTAAGATTACATAAAAATAATAAAAGGAACTTTATATTTTGTTAAAATGAATCAGATCTTTTGATTAATACAAAAGCAAAAAAAAAATATTCAACAAATTCACTATTTACTTATTCTTAAGTTACTAATATCTGATAACTTAAATTTTCTTATTTATTAAATATAAAAAATTCATCGAAATCGATTGTCACTGAAACGTGTTTTAATTCAATCTCTATTTATTCTTAAATATTTGGAAATGAATTGTACTACACCGATCCACGCTCTCCTATTAATAAAGAATATATTACTCTTAAAATAAGAAATTAATAAGTAAAAAATACAGTTACTGTACATTCAGCCGCGTTTCAAGTCTTTCCAAAATAGCATCCAGTTTCTGATTGGCACTCGCTTCCATCTCTTCCATTCTTTCCATCAATCTCTTTTCCATATCATGAAATTTATTGTCGATATAGATTCTAATATCTATATCAGATTTTTTATTATCTTCTTGGCTTGTACAATCTTCGTCGCTATTTCTTCTTATATTTCCGTTTTTACATTCAAAGGAATTTAATTGTTCATGATCAGTCTCGCAATTTCGACGTTCTTTTCCATTATCTCTTTTTGCAATTTCATTTTCCCATTTGAAATGATCTGAGTCTGATGTAAAAGTTTCCAAAATTTTCTGTTTAAACTGCTCGTTATTCGTAATTTCATTATTATCGCGGTTATCGTAAAATTCAAACATTCTTGTCATATCAGGTTGTTGACTCATTTTACCGAGAAATATATTACTGAGAAATGTCTGGATAAAATCTTTATCGTTGACAATATCGGATTTTATCTCTTTTATAGACTCTGTCTTATTATCAATACAGGTTTTGATATCTGATCCTTCATAATTCTCTCCACAATTTGGATATTCCGTTTTACTATTTCTTCTTTCAATTCTATTTTTACATTCGGTAGCATCTGACTGTTCATAATTCTCTCCACAATTTGAAAATCTTTTTTTATTATCGCTCCTTTCAATTTTATTTATATACTCGTCATATTTTGAGCCTGCAAATGTTTCCAAAAGTTTCTCTCTATATTTTCTCATACTTTCCTGTTTATCGTCAAATATCTTCTTTGCCATCTCAGACTCTTGACTCATTTTGCCATTGCTAGCATTACTGAGAAAAGTCTGGATGATATCATAATCAAAGGCACTAGATTTTGCCTCTTTTGTAGAATCTCTCAAAAACAGTCTTATACCATATATCCACATAAGAGGGCCTTTATTTTTTGTTCTAATAAACTAGAAAGTAAATATTATTAAATATTTAATTATGATATTAATTATATGATCATTTATAGTTACTGAAGATAATCCAAACGTGGATTAAAATGTTTTGTTTTTTTGATGTTTACTTAACAAAAATTTATGTATACACATTTACTTACAATTTGTTAGTATTGGCTTTTAGAGGCATTTACTTGTACTTAATTTAAACTTTATTATACTAAATATAAAATTAAATTATCCATGTAAACGATAGTCAGCTTACCTTAATACTAACTTCTGTAGTAGGAGGATGTATCATAGTTTCGCCAAGGAAAACTATATTTTCCTCATACTCATCTATAAACTCCGCGTGTATCGTTGCTTCATATTCTCCAAATTGTTTGAAGATTTCTAAGACGTTACCTTCAGAAATAATAGCGATGCGCGTTATCTTCTGACAATTTGATACTTTAATATTCAGCATACATGGTTCTGTATTAGAATCCATTGGTTGTAAAGCAATACAAGTATCCACAGAAGCTATGTCTTCGCAGTTTATTCTGCAAATGTTTATATTATTTTAATATTATGTTGTTAACTTAAAGGCTGTTGTAATCAAGTCACTCACCTTGCAGATGAGTACTGTATTGGCGCAATGGTGACAGCATCAACGAATTGCTTATTATTGCTGATCTGCCAATTGCATGAGATCGACAGGAGACTGTCACGGTGCTTTATAGACAGCAATTCGCTGGTGTTTTCGGTATTCATTATCTCCATGATTTTAGTATAATAGACGGTCACCTTTTTGCAAATAAGGCATATACCACACTTTGCAGTCTCATAAATCTGTCTGCGATTATCCGCATGATGACATGATCCTCTTTGAATTGTCTTAAAGGAGCAGAAATTGAGGTAAAAGTGCAATCTACGGGGGTCCTCTCAAAAATCGATAAAATTATACTCATTCGACGCGTTTTTGCACCTTTACCGAAATTGAAAGAGTATTTTCTGTTTCTGAATAAATAGGTGCATTCAGTACCACGATCGCTCACTGAGCGCTCAGAGAGCTCTTGGGTACATTCAGTACTACGACCGCTCACTGAGCGCTCAGTGAGCGCTTGCATCTTATTGGTATATTCCGTTAGAACTAAAAATATAGACCAAACAGATACAAGAGCTCACTGAGCGCTCAGTGAACTCTTGAATCTGATTGGTATATTCCGTTAGAACTGAAAATATAGACCAAACAGATACAAGGGATGTATTCAGTACTACGATCGTTCACTGAGCGCTCAGTGAGCTCTTGAATCTGTTTGGTCTATATTTTTAGTTCTAACGGAATATGCCCCTACCACTGCACCTTTCCGATTCCGTGTTCCGATTCCGTTTTCCGTGCCCATGGAACAGCACCCTAATACGGGGTGCTACAATAGAAGTCGTAGCGGTTGTAGGGTCTTAAGTCATAGAAAATTGACCAATCACAGTTGATTATTCGTCTCATATTCGACTGTGATTGGTCAATTTTCTACGATTTAAGACTCTACGATTGTTACGACTTCTATTGTAGACCCCGCATAAAGATTAAAATTTGACCAGTGAGGACTACAGAATTTTAGCTTCTATTGTTTTGATTGGTTAAATTTCAATCTTTCAATCTCAATATTCAATGCGTAGTCTGATTCCGGCCTATCACATGTTTTGAAATATATTGGCCTAGTAATGGCCGCAGCACAGACTCTTGCATAACGCATAATGCATAATGCATAAGGGAATTGACCAATTGAAATTCTTCTTTTTCATGGAATGGGAGGAAAGGAAAGATAACTCATAGTGCATAAGCGAATCAACTAATCAGAATCTTTCCTTTCCTCCCATTCCATGGAAAAGAAGAATTTCGATTGGTCGATTCCCTTATGCACTATGCATTATGCGTTATGCAAGAATCTGTGCTGCGGCCATTATTCTTGTTATTCATCGAACGTTAAACAAGGATAAATGATGCATTATGCACATCATGCGTGAAACGGAACGCAGCCTAAAGCCCAAGACACAATGCGAGGGAATAGCGATAGCGATAGGAATAACACGATTTCAACCTATCAGAAACTGTGTATTCCGATATATCCGATTTCTGATAGGTTGAAATCATGTTATTCCTATCGCTATCGCTATTCCTAGCATTGTGTGTTGGGCTTAAGCTTTACCCCTATTACTCAAATAACCGCGAAGAATAGGGGGAAAGGGACTTGAACTGAACAGCTGAGCGAACTACGAAGGTATCGAATCGTATCGAGTTACACGCCGTGTTCTTCTCTCACAAATTGTCTGAGTTTTGCGCAGTTTTGCGATCTCACAGAAAAGATGTCGAAATACAAGATCGTTATGGTTCGTCATGGCGAGAGCGAGTGGAATAAATTGAACCTTTTCTGCGGATGGTACGACGCCAATTTATCGGACAAGGGTGCGTAAATATTGCCCGGCATAAATGTATTCGTCCAATTTGCCGTTTTCAAGGGCGAAAGGTCGCGCGATCTCACACGAATCTTTTGAGCCTATTTCTGACATTATTGACATATTGCAGGCTTACATCTTAAATAATATTAAATTACGTTAAAACCTGATATAATACACATGATAAAAATCATTCATTCATTATAAATATTTTAATTTTGACAAATTGTGTGCATTTGTGTACACTAATAAAAATTTTAACATTTGATATCTTAAACGATTAGATTAAAATTGGATTTAAAAATTATATTAAGTCTGTGATATTCAAATTATTTTTCATAAATGAACGAAGATCAAGTATTATGTCAGTTTCATCTAATCGAGTTTAACATGAATACAAAAATTTTTATTGAATAAATTCATAGAGATCCCAAGATATAGTTTACTAATTGCATGGATACTGATTTAGATGTTCGAAGAACTATACATTGGATTATTGCAAAGCATGTTAAGTCCAGTTTTACAGAAGAGTACAAAAGATTAAAAATTAAATTAAAAATTGTATATCAGAAATCTTCTTCCAGGCAAGAACGAGGCTGTATCTGCGGGAAAGACTCTCAAGGATGCAGGTTATACATTCGATGTGGCTCATACATCAGTACTCACAAGAGCACAGGAGACACTCAAATTGATCCTGAAGGAAATCGGTCAGGAAGATCTACCTGTTCAGAAGACGTGGCGTTTGAATGAACGACATTATGGTGGTCTTAGCGGTATGAACAAAGCAGAAACTGCTGCCAAATACGGAGAGGAACAGGTACAGATCTGGCGGAGATCATTTGATGTACCACCACCGCCGATGGAATCTGATCACAAATACTATGACACAATAGTGAAAGATGCACGTTACGCCGATGGGCCAAAGCCCGACGAATTCCCAAAGTTTGAGTCCCTCAAATTGACCATCGAGAGGACGTTACCTTATTGGAACGATACAATTATTCCTCAGTTGAAAGAGGGCAAGAGGATTATTATAGCCGCCCATGGAAACAGTTTACGCGGAATAGTGAAACACTTGGATCGTAAGACGCTTTGCTTCATCATTTCATTTATTTTGTAATTATAACAATTTATGAAATATGTATACTTAAATCTGTTTTCTTTTTCTTTTTAGAAATGAGCAATGAGCAAATTATGGGACTGAATTTGCCAACCGGTATCCCATTTGTGTACGAATTGGATGAGAATTTCAAGCCTGTCGTTTCTATGAAGTTCCTGGGTGATGAAGAGACAGTTAAAGCTGCGATGGCCGCGGTTGCCGCACAAGGAAAGGCCAAATAAACAAATAATAATAATAATCTTTTAATGTGTGTCGATGTTTGAGAAGTCAAAATCTGTCATATTCGTATATCTGTTTAAAAAAATATTTATGAACTTCTAGTTTCGTTATACTACGAGAGAGAATGTAGTTCAAGAGAGACGGTGGAAGTAATGGAATTCTTGCTTGAATTAACAAGCATTCCTCTTATGTAAACTAAAAAATATATATATGTATATATCATAGAATGTCTGAAAATATGAGATTTTTTTCAATCTATATCTATGGATACATTTCACTTGATGCTCTCAATGCTCGAAATTATTTTATCCTTGTTATTTATCGAATGTTAAAAAAGAGTAAATAATAGTCGCGAGCGTTGTGAGCATCAAATGGAATACGCATCTTGTGTATTACATACGCTGTGTATTTCAAAAAAGTATAGTATCATTTAAGTTCAGTTTTTTATTCTCTGGTTTAGTGATTAATCATAATTAGAAAAACACGATTTTTACATTATCATCAAATTAAGTAAGATTAAATCTAAATCACAATTAGAAAATGAAAAATCAGATCTTAAAAACTTAAATCAAATACTTTGACATTTTTTTTTTTTAAAGAAAGAATTCAAATTAAAATCCTTGTTTTATTAATCGAAATATTTAGATAAAATAGTATACTCTGTAAAAAATATGTTTTCTGAATTATATTTAGTAGTGACAGAATATTATAAAAGACCAGCAACATTATTTCTCATATATCTTTTATTATATAATCAACACGTCAAAGACGTATATTTTGCAATCGAAATATAGGCTGGGTTATTCCACCTTTCGGAATATGGGCCACCATGAGAGGAATATTCCTTTCTTTTCTACACGTAAGCGACAGGGAAAAAGAAACAAACTCTGAAGTGGTTTGAACTCTGAAGTTAAGAGTCCAGTGCTTATTGTTAGTATGTCCTAAGCGTTTCACGATGTCCATGATGTATCATTTTATCCTTCTCCAACATTCGGTGAACAACAAGGATGCCAGGTATAATTGAGTGCAAAGTATCCATGCGCAATAACCCCGGATCTACAATAGGGTTAAGCCTTAAGCCATAAGAAATGGACAAATTACAGGCTACATTGGCTACGTTTACACCGTGCATTTAGGCCGCGACCTATACAATAGATGTCCTTGTTTATCCTGTAGGTTAAACAAAGCATCTATCGATAGGTCGCGGACTAAGCGCACGGTGTAAACGTAGCCAAAGCGGCTAGCCTGCTCGCCGAGCAAATGAACATAATTGGTTATTACTTATAGATCCAACCAATCATATTCAATCGCTCGATAAACATGCCTAGCCGCTTTGCAGTTTGAACTCGCCCAATGACTGCGTTCAGCAGAAAAAGCAGCTTTGCAACTTTTGTAAAATTCTTTAATATAATTGGTCTTGCCCTTAGTTCCTCATTGAATCTAAATGTATAAACCAATCATATTCAAGAATTTTACAACAGTTACAAAGCTGCTTTTTCTGCTAAACGTAGCCATTGGCTGCGTTCAGCAGAACGTTTGTTTTGCAACTGTTGGAAGTTTTCTTCGCGCTAATTGGATCATACTTTTAGATCTAGAAGAATGATCCTATCTCAGCAGACAATCATAAAACGGTTGCAAAACTGTTGAGTCTGCTGAACGCAGCCATTCAATGCTGTTCATTTGTTCAGTTTTGTTCAGTTAGTTTAGTCTCATTCAGTGTGTTTCGGAACGTCGATGAGAAGTGGCTTTTTATAACCTAACCTTGCATATGTATACATGAGCATTACATGATACTCTGAGAACAAGCTCTCTATCTCTTGAGGAGGAAAAGCAACCGTTTGAAGTCAAACATGAGTCGCGTGGATTTAAAAGTCGTATTACTGGGTAACGCGATGGTGGGAAAGACGAGTCTCATGGAAAGATATGTACACGACTCGTTTAACGGCAATAGACCCTATCAAAATGTAAGTATTTACTCGATTATATGCGTGTGTACGGGGGTGCGTTCACGCATTATAGGTCTTTGCACTTGGTGCCATAATATTTAATTAAGAAAGCGCTTTTTTTTACACGCGCTTGTATCAAATTAATAGAATAGCCTAATTATTTCATTTCTTAAAAGAACGGAAAGAATGTGAAGACTAATAAAGAGAGCACACCTAATAGCGTTAATACTCCCTCTTGTACATACTATATGAAAAAGACGATTCAACAAAGGTTGTTGAGAAACAAAGGAAAGAAAAAAGACATAGTTTTCCTTAGAATTCTTTAAAATCCTCCCCGACAGCGAGACTATTCCTTTTAGCTGAACTTGGCAGTTTTAATTTCCTGCGTTTAAAGTTAAATATATCTCTGGTTACAATATTTGTTCGTGTTGAAATCCCAAAATTTTTTGCACTTAAAACGATATAAATACATATTCAGGCATTGAAGAGAAAGACAGCAAAGATAATGATTGCAAAAAATGCAAGTAATGCAAATAGACCTAATGTGGAAGAAGTACATAATTATACATTTGTGGACGTATCGATTTTATCAATGTACATCAGAAGAGTATATATATTGTAATTTATAATTATAATATTTTGTTTCAAGTCTCACACAAATAAAAAAATTTTTTTTAAATTGTATGATTTAGTTTTTAAAGGTAATTGCATTTTGTAGTTATAACACTTTATTAGTGCTGATACAGTCAGTACAAGAATTAAAAGAAAAACAAAAAACAAATTGCTAATAGATATTTTATAAAAGAAATGCAGCTAAAAAGAATGGGCTTAGTCAATTTGCGAGCACTAATATGGTACATCTTGTTTCTCTTAGTCCGCGACATTGTGGAAAGAAAATTATAAAGTAACATTGTGTTAAAGTTTGCACTGAGAATCGTCTAAATGGAAGGGAGGGCGTCATACCAATTAATCCAGTTGAAATTATGCCGCAGACAATAGGCACTGTGTTTGCAGCGAAGCGAGTGCAAGTGAACGACGTGACACTTATTATGGGAATATGGGATACTGCAGGCAGTGAGAAGTAAGTATATACAATTATTATATCACGTCCCCAACTTGAAATTCTGAAACGTTGTTAAAATTGGTGATTTTCTTTTAGGAAGCATAGTCAACGCAAATGTTCTATCCTTCTTGACATTTAATGAATAACAAAGATAGAACGACATTTGTATTGACTGTATCTCCTAAAAGAAAAGTAGTTACAGTGTAACATAATGATCATTTCATCTTTGTTTAACATTGGCAAACAAAGATGTAATGATTCATTGTGTTAAATGTATCTTGTCTCTTGCTGGAAAACACTCAATATATATTAGCATAATAAATTTAGTTAAACGCGCTACATTAAATTAGTGCATATTAAAAGCTGCTTTATGAAAATAAAAGTGGCATAATATAATCAATTTTAACAATGAAATAATATATGTATATTCCACCAAATAATGTGACAATATCATTTTTTAGTATTTAATCACTGAAAATATTTATATGCTTTTACATTTAACTTTGCTAATTTTGAGCATAGTAGTTTTTAGTATACACTAATCTAATGTAATGCAAATGACCGAATTTGTTATAACACCAACAATAAGTTGTGCTGTTATCATTAATTACTAGGTACGACGCAATGACTAGAACGTATTATCGTGGTGCCAAGGCTGCCATAGTGTGTTATGATATTACAAAATCGAGTACATTCCAAAGAGCGAAGCACTGGGTGAGAGAACTTAGAAGCATTGAAGAGAATTGTAAAGTATATCTTTGTGCCACCAAGAAGGATTTATGCGATGAAGGTTTTATATCAGACGATCCAGATATACAAAATATTGTAGAGAGGTATGCGAGTGGTACACAGACTAAACTTTTCGTAACGTCTAGTAAAACGGGAGAGAACGTAGGTAAGAAAGCATTACATTTAATAAACGTTTTATTTTATTTACAAAATGTATATTTATTATATCTGTTCTTTACAGTCGAATTGTTTGATGAAATTATACAAGATTTCATATCCAATCCAGAAAATTTGCAAAAGGTAGAAGAAACAATTGTTCTAAGTAAAAAAACTGGGGAAAGATGTTGCGCAATTTAACATAATCAGTATTTGTACTAATTGTATTCTTTTATGTTTTTTTATACTAGATAATTTATCTTCGATATTATGATAAACATAATGAAATAGATTCTAATGTATTGTTAATGACCAGTGTGATATTATTTTGTTTATTAGTAAAAGCTCAGAATTTTATACATGCAATGTTGTTAGTGTAGCACAATACAGCTTCGCAAAAGTTTGGAGGATTAAATATTTTAGCAAATAGCAGATTTAAAAAAAAATGTATGGAATGTGCACGTACAATTTTGTATAATTGAAAAACTACGCGATAAGCAATTGAAAAATCTTAAATATGTGATTCTTGATCGTTTAATTCTTTTTTCCATATTTTTGGTAAAATGATATTTGTTCATAATCGCATTCATATATGATTATGAATCGTGATTGATAAGATTCAGTGACAGAATTATATTCCTGAATGTACATGAAATATAGTTTTTATTTTTATGTTAAATTTCAAAAAGTTTGTACTTATTACATAGAAACTTGAAAAATTGTTTTATTTCGAAATTCCTTGACAGGCTGAAAATAGATAAACGGGATCTTTTCAGTTAATTTTGTTACAGTTAAGTATTAAAAATGAATAAGTTGAAAAAAATTTTTTAATTCAATCAAATTTATTAATTTATTACCTTTTGGAATTAATCCCAGTAGAACATTACTGATTGTGAGTGAGAAAGCTCATTTATTGGTATGTATTTATAATAATTCAGTTAATAATTTAGTTTTTATAATTCGTTCACTTAACGGTAACCAGAAAAGTAGGATATACAAAATTCTCTAGCTTGTTCATAAACACCAAAAAATATGAATCCGCCAATAGTAAAGCCGGTTACTCTCGGGAGAAAACCAGCGAACAACCTAAAAACATTATTCTTACAACTTTAGGAACAGATT